TACCTACCTCTCTCTCTCTCTCTTCTCTCTCTCCTCTCCCTCTCTGTCTCTCTCTTTCTCTCCCCTCTCTCTCTCTCTCTCTCGAGTTTCCACCTCTCTCTCTCTACTGAACTTCGCTTGTTGGCCCTCTCTCTTTCTGGTGAACTACTGCTTTTGGCTTTGGCTCCTCATTGTTCATCTACGGTTCAGGACTGTAGGGGTTGGCTAGTTTTGTGTTTTTTTTGTTTTATACTTATTTTTAGGTTAAATGAATTTTGGCTACTTCCTCCATGTTCTATGTATGTAATTAATTGCTTTTACCCTTTTCCTTTTTCTGAAATCCTCGTCACTTTTATATTTTTTTTTCCATCTCTGTCCGAACTCTCTCTCTCTCTCTATCGTACTTTATTTATATATATATATATATTTCTGTCTCTCCTGACTTTACATTTTCTTCGCTCTCTCTCTCTAATAATCGGTGCTGGTTAGGGAAAAGTTTATATAGATCCGAGACTCAAAACAATCAAATTAGATCCTACCTCCAAGGTTGTTTGGATGCTTAAATTTTTTCAAATTGATCATCTCGACATCAAGATGCATGGACTTGCGAAAAAAAAAATAGATTTCAAGATTTTAAAATAGTATATTTTATAAGGTACTTTTTATACTCTCAATTTTTTAGATTTTCAAGTTTTCATAGATCTATCGATCGAAACTAGCGTAAAAAGATGAAAATGTATTCAAAGGCTATCACAAATATTTCCCGTATTAAAAGTGCATTTTTCAATGCTATTTGAAGGTAGGCTCTAATTTGATTGTGTAGAGCCTAGGTTCTATACAAACCGCACCCCAGGGTTTGTTTCTTCCGCTTGTACTTACTTGATGTCTCATTGCGTACACGTATGTTCCACTGACTTCTAATAAATTAAAAAAAACATGGGTTAAATCTTTTAAAATATCATTACAGGGGTTAACAGATCAATAATTATATAGGACGGTGCGCTTTTAACTTTCTATATGTTTTAGGTACATCCTTGAAAAGAAGTGCCAAATTTCTGAAGTCGCTACAGTGTAGTATTGGGTAGCCAGATTAATCAATGATGCTTTGGTAATTTTAACCTTAATTATCATTCGGTTAAGGCGTCTTTAAAAATATCCTTAATTATTTGGGCTTCAATAGGGGCAAATGGAATCATTTCAATATTTATATTGAGGTATTTAATTGATATAGAGAAAAACATATCATTAAGTGTAATTTGTATTCGTTTAATTTTTATTAATAATATTGTAAGGAGTTTCAGCCCCCTTTTTTTTTAAAAAAATTATCCTCCTAATGCTACTAGGTTTGGGATGCATTGGAGGCGATGAATGGAGCAAATGCTCGGGTGGAAACACAAAACCTTTTAATTAAAAAAATATGTAGGCACGTAGTAGCTGTGTAAATTACTATGAGATTGTATACTATGAGACTATTGATTTTTGATGATTTTTGATACAAAGAGGTCGAAGTCATTTTTAGCGTGAAATCCAATAGATGAAAGTTTATTATAATATTCAAGAAATTTTATTGTAAACTTTGACATATCTTCAACCACCCGATTTCAAATTTAACGATTTGATGATTGTGACCTCCATTATATCAAATATTCTGATTTTATACCTTTCCTTTTTCTGTTTTTTTTAACTGAAACTACGTTACTTGTTTGAAAAAAAATAAATTATCAGGAAAGACATTTGAGACGATCGACCCACGAACTGGAGAAACGATCACGAGGGTCGCAGAGGCAGTTAAAGAAGACATCGATTTGGCAGTGAAGGCTGCTCGTGAAGCTTTCGACAATGGAATCTGGCCTCGGATGAGTGGATATGTAAGATTTTTATTTCCTTTCATTATGCTTGAAATTTAGTTTCCTTTTTCTTGTTTCTTTTTTCTTTTTCTTTTGGAGAAAATATCTGACGACTCAAAGGCAAGGATTTGGAGTTGTTCGATGCCATTGGTGTGGAACATAATATGGATTTGGATTTTGAGGCTATATGATATCCTCGATTTCGAACAGAGACCAAAGATGAGGATGTCCAGTTGATGATGGCGGTTAGCTCTTGAAAAAGAAAAAAAAAGTGAATTTTCCACCGGTCCTTAGAGACGTCGGGCAGGGGGAGAAAGCCTAGAAAAAGAAAAAAAAATTAAACACCCTTTCCCCGTGCACCTTCCAGGTTATTATCCTTCTAAAAATTATATCTATTTATATCTTAATGGGAAAAGTTTATATAGAGCCAAGGCACACTAAACAATCAAATTGGAACCTACTTAAAAACTTTCATAAGAAGTGGCTCTTTTGATGTCCAAATGTCCTCAAATTGATCATCTCAACATCAAGATGGACAGTCAATTTTAAAGATTTTCAAATTTATATATATATATATATATANATATAGTAATTGCTGTACTGTGACTCCTCTGACGTCTCTTCTTAGAGTTACGAACCGTAAG